ACTGATCAGCATGGGCCAGTAAACACTGGTAGAGGGCTGTGAAAGACTTCTCTTGCCTGGCTGTAAGTTCCTCCTCTATAGTTTTATCCAGTGGTTTCCTTTCAGTAAACTCCACGTCCCACACCGCGTCCACCCAGGCTACAAATAGAATAATATTATCTCAAACATGTAAATATAACTGAAATAACAAGAGAAAAAAACTTAAAAACATCAAGTTTTTGTGAAAATCTCTATGTCTACACAATGTTTATGTTTGAAAAGGAGTAGGATGATTTTTTTTATTTTAAATTACATCATTTACATGTTTAACTATATACAACTCTACGCTCAGCTCATAAACCAAAACAACAACAAACTACATTTTACATAAACTAAGCACCCTGTGTAAACACCCACTAATCTCTGAGCTTAAAAATGATCTTATATCACAAAATCACTGACTGACTTTCATTTACTGCTACTTTTAATACGTTTGCCTGTCAAATGTCAGAGGAGCCGATGTTTTCTCAGATGCCAAAGAGACACTGCTGTCTGCCATGAATCCACAGATATTAAGTTCATTACAACTGCTGACTATAAAATCTGACGACAATCTGAATATTCAACTGCTTTATTTAATGGCAGATAATCTACACTAATGTCGCTTCACGGTACATCTCTCGGCTCAAATGACCCAGGAAACAGCCAAATTTGACAGACAGCCAAACCGCCGGGTGTTCAGTAAACCACATCTGGATAACAGACAAAAGAGTTTTACCTTCTGGGATATCGTTTAACCTAAGAAACTGCAACGCAGATATCAGATCCATCTTATTTTGGTTTGTCTTTTTCTTTCTAGTTTAATTCGCCCGCCCAAATATAAAAACTCCGGACATGCGCACTAAACGTCTTCGTTTTATTTCTTTTCCCGGTTATCAGCCTCAGTGTTCAGTACTGCCACCTGCTGGGCTGGAATGGTTAGTTATTTTATTATTGTTTTTTAATTTGCAAGAAAAGTTAAAACTGGTCGCAAAGTTTCAAACTAGTTTATTGGAACATAAACTAGTTCATAACAGTTTTAATATGACTAATACTAAATTCATATAGATAGTTTCACCTGATAAATAATAATGTGCAAAGAAGGTATTTATAATACACACTATATTCCCAAAAGTATTCACTTTTCTGTCTTCACATGCATATAAACTTGAGTTATATCCCATTCTTAATCCATAGGGTTTAATATGATGTCAGCTAACCCTTTAACAACTCTTCAGCAAAGCCTTTCCTCAAGGTTCAGAAGTGTGTTTGTGGGAATGTTTCACCATTGTTTATGGGCTCAAATTGTGGTCATGAAAATTTTGTACTTGTAAATCAAATGTGTATTTGTGAACTGAGTTTTTTAACCTTGTGAACCAAAATATGTGAACATTTTTTGTTTGTGCATCTACTGATGAGAATGTGTGTGTGTGTGTAAAAAAGATTTGTGTTTGTAAAAAATATTTACACAAGTTACAATTTTTTTTGTTAAGGTCTGCTTACAGATACAAAGCAAAAAACTGTGTAAAACTCTGCGCTCTGTGTGAGTTTCAACTTACAAGTATGAATTTTCACCCAATTTTTCTTCCTTTCAAATGATTGGTCAATGTCATGTCAATCACAAATGTAACAATCCAATCAGAGAACAGATGGCTGTCGGAGGGG